CTTGCTTTATACCGCAATATGAATTAATAAGGCTCAGAATTCCCACAGCTTTGCCTAAATCGCATAAATAGATTATGAACCAAAACGTTATACTGTAATACGCAGTTCCCCCCGTTGATAAAGCGATGTAATATTGATCGTTATGGGCGTAATTATGATCGATATAATATTAATAAGCGTCTTCCCCGGAAAAAAAGGAGCGAACGATTAAAGTATGTTCTTCCTGTTATTAAACTAGATATCGTTTGCGTCAAATCGCGCTTTCGCAACAGATGTATAGACGTTCGTCGAGAATCTGTTTCATTAAAATTTCTAGGCAAGCGTTGTACTAGCTGGGATTTTTAGAAACGAAATAAGCGACGTGAGTAGCGCAAATTACACGAGCTCGCGCTCCGTCGAAATGGCACTCGCTTTTATGCTCGAACAAATCTTTCACCGCGCGAAATCTGATGTTGCACCGGAGAAGAGGGGGGAAAAAGATATTGGACTATCCGAAGAAAAACGAGTACGGATACCGCAACGCCAGGAATTCGTGTAAAAATCGCATTTCGTTAAGATCGACAGATGCTGACTACATTCTCTCCAGACGGAGCACTTGAGAATAAACATCAGGTGGTCAGCTCTTTCCCTCTCTCTCTCCCTCTCTCGCACCTCTTAGACTGAATAACCTACAGACTGGTTATGGCTCGAATCCCTCAGAGTCCGCGTGTTTTCCCGTGAGTTTACGCGCCATTGGCCACCAATCTTCGGAATGAAACTGCCGCTGTTCAGTAGATTCTCCCGGCGAAAGAGCCCCTGTTTCAGGTACGATGGCGCGAAAAAGCGTGTAAGAGCAACGACAGAGAGAATGGAGAAAGAGAAGAGGACCGGACCGATTGGACGGAATGCGACGATAGGACGGGGACGGGAATAGCGACTACAATCCTTCGACGCGTCGAATAATCACATTTAACACATCCGGCGATATGCGAACGATACGCGTACGCTTGCTCGCGCACGGATATATTACACATTGTATTCCACCGATAACCGGTGCTGTAACCGGCGATATTACTGCACACTGAGAACGGAACAAGCGGGAGCTTATACTACGACGCGCATTTAGCTCGGAAACGACGTATCAAGTATGTAATGGAATTGCGCGGCTGTAAAGACAGACTATCGGTCCAATCTCACCTGCATCGTCTTCACCGAATCTCGTCACGTGATCTAACGAATACGCGTGTAATTGCACCGAGGGGAAGGCCGGGGGAGAGAGAGGAATTACTTCGGATACTGAAACCGCGACGATAGCTCTTACGAAAGCAACGAGATGGGGCTCGAGATTCTTGCACGGTATTGTTAATGTACGTCCGAGAATAAGCTATCCACGAAATATGTCTAAGCAATTTCAAATTTCTGTAGATAATATGTCTATGTAATATCAAATTTCTGTAGATAATGTAGTGTAATGAAGGATAATAATCCATACGGAATATCGATACATCCTGCTACAACTGCTACACTCAACGGCTAACTAGGTAAAGGTAAATGCCATTAAGCGAGCTCTATCCTTCTCTCGGAAAATTTCCCACAATTATTACACAATATCACACTCGCGAAAGTGAATACGATGTTACCAAGATAAGAGTAATGATGAGATGTACACGGCTATTCATTCAATGGGACAATTCTACGAGGCAAGTCTAAGGGCGCGTGACGTGCGCGTGCTAATTTGTAAAAACATATCTGTCGCACAAACGTAACGAATCGATCGAACGTTCGATGTGACTTCCGCGAAGCGGCGCTGAAGAAAGAAAGCTGGCGATAAAACCCGACTGGCTGATTTGGTCACATACACGGTACAAATCAAAGTACCGTTGAGCCTCATCTAGAACTGCAAGGACCGGTCGCGGGATTGGCGCAGAAGCTTCTCTCCTCTCCTGCCCGTCGATTCCCGTCGGCTTTGCCGACAATCATCGCCGGTTGCTCCCAGCGTTTAATCATGTTACATCAGTACGACACTCTGACAATCCTATCAAAGTAACGAGGCGCGCGCGCGCGCGTGCACACGGCTCGGGGGATACGTATAGCGTGGGACTCAAAGTTTCATCGCAATCGATCATCTCTGATTACTCCTACATACACGACTGCACGCGTGTGCATCGTCGACTATCGACAGACCATGTACTTAAGTTCTTACATACCGGAGCCCGGCTTCGGGCGCAGATCAAAGGAAATAACGTACATTAGTAGTGATCAATATTTGCGCTATCATATGTTAAACTTCGACGTCGTCACGTCTGCGTAGCGATGCCAAGTAACACTTCTATTATATTATGACGCTTTCATTATCGCATTACAACTCAAAGTTATTTGCATTGCAGCCACGAAAATTCCGTTAAAAGGACACTCACGCGCGGTTTATCAATTGCGTGTGATTATCAATACCGATTGATGAAGCGTTTCTCTCTAGACGTGAACCGTTAGAGAATTGACGGGTATTCCATCTGTTTGGAAATCAATACACAAATCTCCGATCACCGTTTCCTTCATCTTGTCGCGAATTATTTTGATATTTCGTTCTCAATTATTTTAATTTCAAAATCAGTTGCTTGATTGATAAAAGCTGTAACGGTAAAACACTAACGAACCGTCACCTCCAATAATTTACACAAATACCTAATGATATAATGTTAATATCAGCGCGAACGTTGCTATCTGATATTACAGTATTATTGGAAACGTAACCGAGTGATTCAATATCCAGATGTTGCTGGAAGAATAGGCAATAATTTACTGCATTACTCGTTTTGCTGTTTCTCGATATCTCTGATGATATTTCGAGGACAGGAAATGGAGAGCGCGCGAAGAAGGACGACGCGCTTATCCAGAGTACGAGCGCGGCGAGAAAGTTTTCCTCCCGTTACGGATGTGTCGTACCGGTGATGAAGGAAACGGAAGCGAACGAACTTTGGGCAGCGCGGGGTCAAGGGAACAGGAAGCATCGAGCCGCGGACTTTTGATACGTGTACGTAAGCGTGGGTGGTGAAGTAACGATCGCGCGGGAGGTAAAGTTCACGGAGCGGATTCAGCGGCCAACTTTTTGCGGATTGTCATTAGCTTTATGATCGCGCCGGCGAGGATTTACATGAACCGCGGCCGGGGTAATAGATCGCGGGGAAGAAGGTGACGATAAATTTCATATTCTACTGCCGCTGGTAGATTCACGGGCTGTCTCGCGCGCGCCAACGGAACAGACCGGTAATTTAATGCATGTTTTGCGAGACGTCTCTTTATGCGCTTCCTGAGACACGTCTGTACAGCCAATCACGTTTTCACGAGGACGAGACGAGCGCGTCTCATTACTGCAGTTGTTAGGTCATTTGTTCCATCTTAATGTAACTTCTTTTTGTTTGCATTTCGCGCAATACGGTGTGAAAGCTTGATTGAGTGCGACTGTAGATACGGTCTAACTCGCTGGTCTACGCGGCTGGTTAAAAGAGCAGATTGCAGACGGAGAATTGGAAATATACTTTGGCACTCGGAGTATTTTCAATATTTGCGAAATGACGAGATTAGTTTTTGGAGACACGCGCGAAATTATTTATTTATTTTTTATTTATTTACTTATTTATATGAGACAAATTCCTTTTAAGAATAATGAAGAGAATACAAGAGTAGAAATAAAAAACAGTTATGAAAATTATAGTGGTTATACAGTGTTTGATGCTTAAAAAATTTACAAAAAAGATAGAACTTTTTCATAATTAATATCACATTAACAAAGTAACGTAGACATAACGACATGACATGTATCACTTTGTTTTGTGTATGAGGACGAGAGAGATGATCCTTTGCAATGACTGGATATGTGTCGTCTCGCTTTTTAGTCTCTCTTAATCTCCCTTCTATATTATTATCACTATTTTTTATCTCTACTATGCATTTTATGTTAGCTAAGCTAACATAAAATAAAATATTATTATTATTCTCACATATTTCTACGTCGGTTGATATTATATATTTCGATATTTAATCGATTAAGAATTAGTAACAAACTACGTAAAGAAATATAGCGCGCGTTCAGCCGCTTATTTCGATCTTCATTCGTCCATATTTCTGTATTTACGACTTTCGATGCGTAATTTCAACGCTTCGTTCGTAATCCGCGGATTTAAAAAATTTGCAAACTCGCTGCTGCCGGATGAATTTTCGATATTTCGGTCGAGTATTGTTGCGCCAAGCGTTTCATCTCTTCGTAAGAGGGATGGAGCCGCTAATTCCGTAATACATTCGGCTTTACAGTGAGTATCCATAGAACCATGGTACAATTATGAATGAGCAGCAGCATATTTGAACGGCAATCGGAAGCCGGGAATTTAAGTCTTTAAAAACAGGCATCGATATTAACCTATATGTAGAGTACGACGGAAAAACAGATCGTACAATTCGTTTCGTAGGGGAAATTAAATTACTAATGCTCAAAAGATCTCATTTCTCCTCGATATTTCTTTCGCATTTACGATGCCTTTTTATTGCATTTCAACGCGAAAAAATGGGCCATGTTTATGATAATAATAGTAATAATAATAATGACATTCTTTTTTTCTTTCTCGCAAATATATTAGTTATATTTCACGTTCGAATTTATATTTTTGTCATGTAAAATCTCTTATTAAAAACAAAAATAAAAAACAAAAATTTTACTAAAAGTTGTCAGAAAACTTACTCTTCTCGTAAAAATGAAGGAAATATATATCTTATCTGTATTCTATTAATTCCAGTTGTATCGACAATCCGTATTCTATACGCGATTTTCACATTTACTATTGCATCTCTTCGATTAGAGAGAGAAACTCTCTTCGCGCAGAGAGTTTTATATGTACGACAATTTGTATATACCACGATTAACACGTACATAGATTAATTAAACGTCATAATTCTGTTTTTCATAGCGCTATGTAAACTTTGTATATCACAGATTCAGACAATACAAAGTCTTAAAATATGTTATTTAGATAGTCTTCAGAGTGTCTTCAGATAATCCATTTGGATTATCGTACCACTCAGAGATGGACAAATATTGAATCAAGCAGTTGCAATAACTGATGCAAAAACTCACCTTTAAACGAAGATCACTGACCGTCCAGACACGGCTTGCATAGTCGTTCGATGCTCCAAGGATGAGAGTGCCAGTCGAGTCGAAGTCCACCGACATCACTCCAGCGTTGCTGCCGACTAGAATGCCCTTGCTCTCAGATGCCCCTGCAACAGAATGTTTATGTGTACGTTATTATACAATTCACTCGCGCGATGCTGTGTTTAATTCTTCGTGTTTACGCATATCCCTCAATTAGTTTGCCTCTTGTTGCACGACCATTTCCTCGCTACATCCTTCCTTCTAAATCTTGTGTTATTCTCTGAATATGACTAATTAAATTTATGCCCTGACGGCTTAATTGGTAACAAGCAAGCCGCGTTGCAATTCGAATGGTAAAATGATAAGGGGAATCTTATATAGGCGCTTCGAAACAGACAAGGGGAAAGAACAAGAGGAAGAGAGACAGAAACAAACGGAAAGGGAGGAATAGGAATTGAGGTGGGGCAGAACGATGAAGAAACGCGGGGAACAAAGCTGAGAAATGGAGAATGCATAGAGATCCGGAATAGCAGATCTCAAGCTAAGCGGATATAACCCATACAATAAGGGCGGATGTTTCATCCAATTTGCAGCACGAAGGGTAGAGAGATTACATTCGAGAGTGTTACAACGATGTGTGCGATCGCTTTGCCACGGCGCGGAGAACGATTCTGCCGACAGAGCTTTCACATGTCGCAAAGGTGAACTATACGTCGCCGCGCGGCCGAGCAAAGTAACCTGTTGATTCGTTAACATTCTTCATTAAATGGATCGCGGGGAGCCCTTTGAGCGAGAAAAAAATAACAGCAAGCTCCGCCGTCTGCGTTAAGTAGAGACGAATAGAAAGCACAGCGAAGGGAGGATCTTTCTTAAACTGGCAAAACCAGATCAATAAAATTATAACTTTATATTTAAAAACACAAATGCATTTAATGTGTCCATAACAAAATCGTCTATGATAAGTGATTCATAGCGCAGATGCGCAATTATGTTGACAAATACGTTTGAGTAATTTTGCCCGTTTTTCTTCGATCTTTATTAGCCATTAGTTAACATAAAGTTCTTGTATCATTTTACTTTATGGCTTACTAGCTGAAATCAATTTTACGCATATAATTCTAGTTAAGTTATAAAGCTGTAATTAGACTATTAACACTAGATTTACGGGACAATTTGACAGGTATCCGAAGAAATAGGTATACGACATAGAGAATTTTAAAATTAGAAGTCTGAGGAGTAAATGAATAATTTGAATATATATTCGTATCATTCCATTAATAAAAGTCAACAAAAATTGCTAGAAAATAATAATAATAGTTTCTATAATTCTGCTCGTGAAATCCGAAACCCGTCAAATTGACGGGTCCCGTAAATCTAGTGTTAAACAGGTACAAGATCCGATGATGCAACGTTTGCAGATCGAAAAATGTTCTTTTTCTTTCCCCTTCTTTTTTTGTAGACACATTCTAATCGACTTGTTAAAATTACTTGTTTTTTAATGAAGAACGACTAAGTGAAGGGCTTTGATATCAAATAAGGAAAACTGATCCGAGCGAATGCATTTCGTGAAAGTTACAGTAGTATCTAAACGCGAGCGAAGGAACACGCCATAATTTAACCGCATCACCGCACCTCGTCGGAAATTTGAATAATAACAAGACCAGCAAATAAATTCCTGGCAGGAGATCATCTCCGTCGCTTGCACGCGATGCACTTGCGACTACCATGCGGCTCGAGGTGTCGTTTACCCGCGTGAATGCTTCGACTAATCGCATTCTTTACCTCGCACACGTTCGACGTCTCGAACGTAATTTACATTCTGCTATCGCGGCAACGTTTTTTAGTGCGCATTTTCTTATATATGTAACATTGTATGACAATCAATATTAAAAATTGAAAAATTGTGACATGTGATCTTTTTTATAAAAAAAAAAAAAAAAAAAAA